TGATACTACGTGAAAGACGTTTCAAGACACCGACACGACAAGAACCGATAAAGAAGGATCGCAACAGTAGACAGCTGTTTCGTCCTTGTTGGGACTCGTCAACACTGTGTAGCGAAAATATGTAACGCCAGCCCAAGAGCTAACGCACATAAATAGCAAAATGACTAGTTCACTAGATCAAGTTCCGTACTTTGACCTCACTTGCGCCCCGAAACACGCATTGCCACATCACGTGTTTCGGGGCGCAGGGAGACAAAGTGTCACGATTGATGTCTCGGAAAGCAAAAAATAAAATGTCGTTGGACAAGGCTAGCCTAAACATTTAACCGCATGGCCAGCACCATGCTTTAAAAAAAGCATCAAGCCGTAAAACGCATAAACGAACTTCATATCTCTTAACGCCTGGAAAGTAAAATTCATGATTGTGTTGTTCAGGACCCAGTATCCAGCGGATAAATCGCACATAATCATGTGGATAAATGTGAACAAAGCATACTACATTATCCACTAGATGGTGACTTCACCAGTAATAGCGTTATAAATGCTTATTTGAGCGACCAAGGCCAATTAATACACACTCAGTCTTTAACAGTTTTGATCATTTGTTCCCTAGATCTCGCTGCATTTTGTTTTTTGTTTTTTGTTTGTTTTTTTGTTTTTTTGTTTTTTTCATTTTTTGTAACAGTTTTAAACTGATTTGATTCGATTGCACATTCAATTTTAGCAGTATGTGTGAAGAAATGCGTATTGGCTTAATCCTCCAGGTAAAACAAATTTAAATGGAAAAAATACACGTAAGTAAAACTGAATAACAACTCGAACTTGACCTCACCAGTTTATCCGAAGGAGGAGGCAGTCAGCTGGCTGCAAAGTTCTTGTTGCAAAAGAAATAAATGTTGGCACATTTATACAGAGATGTTTAGTCGGCGACATTTCCGCGAAACACGTCACTCTATCGGACAGGATATAACTACACGCGCGATAACTTGCTCCCTTTTTTGTGGTAATTAAAAGTTATTAATATAAAAGTTTGCAAAGTTATGATTAACGAGAAACTGATGAATATCGAACTGACTGTGGCCTTTTCGTGTAATATAAATTTCTCGTAGTCTAATCAGCCAGTAATATGGAATATGCCGCTCTACGTCTATCTGGGTAACATCAGACTATTTAATATATATCCATATCTCTTAAGGACTTTACACTTCTAGATTTATAGATCGGAGGCGATAAGTGGAATAACGAGATTTTGATCATTCTATTATTTAAAAAAATATATTTGAGGTAACTTTAGTAATTATTCCGGTCGTAAAAATATCTGTCCTCATTATATCAAGCTTGTTTCTCAAGCCAGTATTTTTACAGGCACCAGCGAAATAACACTGAAAATGTTTTTATATACTTAAAATACAGCGAAATCTCTATTCTTCTTCTTCTTATTATTATTATTATTATTCTTGTTATTATTCTTCCTTTTCTTCCTCTTCTTCTTCATCATCTTCTTCTTCTTCTTCCTCTTCTTCTTCTTCTTCTTATTATTATCCTGTTAATATTATATTAATATTGTTATTATTAATTTAATATTATTTTAATCTCATGGAATGCAACACTTTGCACGATATAAATTTTCTTTTTCAGAGTGGAGGTTCAATTTGTTGCCATTTCTAGTTGTTATTCCACTTGAGATTGACACGCTCAAAAGAGGTTTCAGAACTAGGGAGTGCGCTCTGCGTGGTTGCTTGAAGTCTTTTATGGTCTGTGTACTGGTCAAAGTATCCATGTATACTAGATGTTCAGTTTTGTTGGCGTTTTAAAATCATTCATAATTCAGCAGAGACCTTGTCCTTCATGCATCGCGCTTCCATTACGCCTAAAGCTAGAATCAATAATAACTTGGACTCCACACGTAATTTCATGAATGAAATTGCAAATCCTGCCTCAAACAGTCTTCGACTTTCAAAATTCGGTCACACCACTTCTAATTATGCGGTCGAATCAAAATAGGTTGACAAATCGCTAATACGTTATTGATACTTTCATGAGATGGAAAAGGAAACTATTAAAGTTATGTCGAGGAAAAGGTTGTTATTTTGCGAAATATGAAAAATGTCGTGGACACTGCTATCTTTCAAATCCTAACAAAAACTGAATGACAAGTGCGATAGTAATCAAAGCTCTCTAGCTGGCTGTATTTGTTTTTCATTGCAACGAAGGCAATAAAAAGAGTACTTGGAAAATTAGGATATAATTTCACTTCCATTTTGTCTAAGTTATGCGACGTTTGATAAAATGTGCTTGAAATTACATCCACGATTTTACTCGTACCATTGATTATCCAGATTTAGTTTGAATTCTTTATGACGAATCTCCTTGGCGCCTGTTATTTGCTGCCAGATCCTCTTTATATTTTCTTTCCTGTGGTTTGGTTATTAAACAGTTCGCACAATAAATGCCCTTCTGACATTATTAAAAAAGCGGTTGTACGTTTTTGCTGTGCTTTTAAAATAACGTTTAGTGTTGATGTACATGTATTGAGTAAGATTAGCTGTAGGGTCAGAAAGCTCTATTTATTCTTATATGACTAGAGTATTAACCGCTATGATTACAAGAGTGTTTTAAAAGTTATTAAAAAGATCCATGAAAGGCCATGTTCTTCTACCAATATGTATTGTGGTGTAATATTGCCCTTGGTTTATTCCTTTGTCTCATATACGTTATCATTTACATGCAACAAAACTCCAAATTAAACGCCAAAACATATATAGCTATTTTTAAAAGTTATAAGTTAAGTTCCACTTCAGAGCTCGTGAGCGCGGTCATTACTACTTTTGTTTGGTCATAAAAAAAAAACCCTCGTTGCGATCATATCTTGAATGGCACAGCTCATTTATCAGGTACCCAAGCTACACGAATTTACAGATCAGAACCGTGAGCATTTTTAGTTTAGACTCTCTCCAATAATTTGCAAAAATACTCCGAAAAAGATAACGAATCTCGCGAAGCACAAAACATTTTCGAAAATTTCTTCGCGGAAATTTGTCCCGCTCGATTTTGCGCAGGGAATTTGCGGAGGTCTCGGTTGAATGCCTGGTTTATGTTTCGGGTATTCTGGACTTTCCTAGGGAATTTTCTAATTTTGCTCTCGTTCCAAAAGCTCGGAGAGAAAGCGCGCCTTACTGTAAGAAAACTTTCACATCAGTAGGCGTATGTTTCAATGTTACTTTCTTTAATCGTTATAATTAATGAAACCATTCAAACTTTTTCTAATAGAGGAGTTCACGCTCCAAGGGGCATTATGGGTAATCAGGGCAAGATTGCCAACAACTGAAAGCGGCAAAATAACCGTTTTTCTTCATATTTCCGTTCTGAGTTTCATTTTCGAGAAGAAACTTTTACTGTAAATAGAGAAACCTTACTAGCGTTTCTGAGTCGATTAGCCTACTTATCAGAATAACGGAGATGTTACTTTTGTGGCTTGAGCGGCCAAGACTTGATCAAATCATTCGGTTTTAACCGAAATAAATATTCCTACGCCACAACAACCACTCGATCGGCTCAAAAAAGCTGGTAAACCTAGAGAAGGGGTTTCTCCGTCTACAGTGTATGTTTCGTCTCCAAATGTGAAATCAGAACGGAAATATAAAGATAAACATTTGTTTTACGCCTTTGCTTCTTTTTAAATTTGCCCTAATTACCCATAATGCCCCTTAGAGCGTGAACTCTTTCATTAAAGCCGCCCAGCTAAAATTAGTCATTATCTACCGCTCATCGCATTAAAAGACAATCAAAAGAATAGTCTTGAAGTTTCACATGGGTTTTGTCAATATTGTGTGACATATCATTAAAATTATCTCTTGTTTCTCCATAACCAAAACGAAACAATTAGATTATTCGCTCTCTATGATCTCTTCAACTATCACTGTTATAGTTCAACACTAAATTTTCTCTGATTCTTATTGGTTTAAATTGATCACGTAACGCGATAGTGTTCATCGGGGGAGAGACACTGTTTAAACAATAGTGTTTCTTTCGAGGAATTATCGGCTGATATAGTTGCTCCTCCCAAATTTGATGTTCTTAAAACAATAATCTGCATTTAATGGGTTTTGCCTGTTTTCTGTTACAAATTTGCATTTGGTTTTCACGCCTTTCATCTCAAAACGTTGAAAATTCAAAATGATTTTTGAACTGGCACGCGGAAAAATTTAGTGGTGAACAACAATTGAGACAAGAGAGTGTTTATGTCTCGGAACTATCGGTCTGATAGTTGCCTCTTGGTATTTGTTGTTCTTAAAACTGACATATTTGCCCTCGCAGCTCAGAACTGTGGCAGCTCTCGTAAGCTGCTATTGTTTTATTATTGTAGCAGCTGTTATTGTTGTAGGGGTAGGAGCATTCCTTCTGTTGTTCATTCTGTTGTCCTCTCAAAGGGTACCAGGTCATTCATGCGAGCTGCTACCCGACCCCACACGGAAAACCAGTTCGCAGAAATTTACAGAGCCCAGTATGAAAACGCCATGTTGGTGTACATCCGTGGTACACCAAAATTGCCGCGGGAACCACAATCCAGGCAATCCTACCAGTGTCAATACAGAGCCCAAAATAATCTCAGTCTGTGAAGCACTGCACATTGCAACTGGTTGTCTGCAGATGGTGAAATTCTTATTAGCAGCCTCAGTGTTCCGCGAGAAGACGCAATTGGTTTCAACTGAACGCTCCTAGGTTTGTAAATAGAAAAAAGTTAGCCAGTAGGCAACTGACATTTACATGTACCGATATGTAGAAGTTAGCTCAATTAACCTCTGACTAACACAAAATCTTACGATGCTAAATTGACATGTTTATAAAACTATACAGTGTATGATACTATCCAAAACTTATTAATGAAGTGATCAAGTGATAAACAATTTTTTTTTTCTTTCACGTGGATGACAGAGGTAGATTCAGGGGAGGGGCAGAGGGGGTTGCAACCCCCTTTGAGCAGCATTTTTTTGTCATTTGTTTGACTCATCATAAAGATAATAGAATATAATTGTTTTATATGTGGATGTTTCACTTCTAGCAGTTGACTGATTGACAATTAAGGAAAAGATAATGTAAATTTTGGGACTGCATCTTACCATTTTTGGTTTTCTTGTCGATAAAAGTGAAAGTCAAGATTTTTATATCACAAATGTTTGTCAAGTGCCAGCAATACTGGAAATGTGGTGTTTTAGAGAGTACTGGTAAAATCAGGAAAATGTTTTGGGGGCATGGCATTCTGAACACCATAGAAGTTCGCACCAGCAGTGCTCGCAATCCATGCCAATGGTGTCGGAAGTTGTTAAGGTGTACAACCCCCCTCTTTCAGGAATTCCTGGATCTACCCCTGGACGACCAGGTAGGTTAGCTCAGTCACAGATATGATTTTAAAACAAACTGGTGAAAATGAAGTCCTGCAAAAAGTGTAACAAAATGATCACCATAACCATAACCATAAATACACAAGAAAAGGAACTTACTTAAGTACAACTACCCAAAAAAGAATGTCTGCATTCATCACCTGCACTATCCAGTGAATGGCAGCTACATGTTCATGTGTATATACTTAAGCTTTGCTCAAATCAGGCCTGCTGATGAATTAGTCAGTCAAATTTGAGAAGTATGTATACCAATACCAAACAGTTCAAATTACTCAAAATTGTTCAAAATATCTGTTTTCCAAATTTATCAATCTTAAATGATTAATTGCTAGTCAAGTTTTGCTGCACCAAGTATCACTTGACGATGGAAAATTATTCCTCAAGCTGAGAGGTTATTTCATTTATTGCTACACAACTTATAGTATTGTGTATTGCCTACACTGTTCAGTTTAGTGTATACATAGCATATTATATCAAAAAATTAGGATTACCTTCAAAATTTTATCTCTCTACATGCCCTTAAAACGGGAGGCGCGGTGGCATCATGGTTAGTGCGCTCATCTCCGGATCGAGCGGTGAGGGTTCGAGCCCTGGCCGGGGACATTGCGTTGTGTTCTTGGGCAAGACACTTTACTCTCACAGTGCCTCTNCCCATCCAGGGGGGAGTAGAAATACTCCTAGTCGCTTCATGCTACAGAAACCGGAATAAGCTCCGGCCTAATGGGCCACTTGGCTCGAATGCAGACTTTACCTTTAAACGCCCTTAAAAACAGTGGTCACCAAAATTGAGGCCGGGGGGTACTCTGTAAACCTTTGGGTAGGGGTGTGTCATTGGGACACTCTGCCATTACCCTATATATAATAATAGATCACGATCAGCTTGATTTTGCAACTTTATTCTAGACTAAGCACCAAAAAACCTACCCTATCCCAGACTAGCTATTTTCTATACAGAAACTTTATAACTACCGTAGGCTAACGTATCTTACAAAGTCACTTCTGATTTTCAATTTCCATTATAGAACACCAGGTAAAGGACCCTGTCCTAGGCTAGAATATTTATACACTAGCCACTTTTCAGGTAAATCATGCCCTATTCTGGACCAAAACTGTCTGATTTCTATACCCCATCCCAGATTAACATGCCTGAAAATCATGCCCTTCACATTGGCACCTACACATGTACATTAAGCTTATAGCGGATTCATTTGTCTGGATCAAATAATGCATGCACGCTTATCAATCAATCAACAAGTTTATTACAGCGTCGAAAATATCAGGTCGAGGGTAAAGACCCTGTACCATTTGAGAACACAAAAATAAACTATACACTTTGAAACACGGCTTTGCAGGTAATGTTAATTAAGGTATGTTTAGGAAATTCCCTTTTAAACATGTCATTGAGCGAAATAGACAGATTAGTTTTGCTACTGAAATGACTTTGTTGGCACAGAAAAAGTATTCTATAAGCTGTGCGACTCCTATTGTTGTCGACAATACTGAACTGTTTTGTAAAGAACTATCGATGGGACTGAGCTGCTATAAGAACAATTCGGACCACAGTTCCATGTCAGATTTATATCACACAACCTACATGTATAAACTCGCTTGCTCTTTTTGAAGAAATTATCCGTATAAAGTTTTCGCATATACTGTAATAATCAATCAATCTTGATTTGTACTCACTCTTGCTAAAGAAAAAAAATACAATTTCAATGAAAATATGAAAAGTAAAAATTAGAGTACTAGCTGTCTGGAATAGCCATAGGGGCTGACGGAGCCAGGCAGCTCATGTATGTGAGCAAGAGAGCTATGGTGTGATAAGAACACCGTAAATCGAGAAGGAGAAAATAATGAAGCTAAATCGTACCTAAATCGTACCTACCAGCTTGTTGATGACACGGTAAGTGGGAAATCAAGCATAAATACAAATGCCTTGTCTTCACTTTCGGCGACGCCACGAATCGAAGAAATGTGCAGATTTGAACCCCACCCCACATCCCAAGAGACATTAGCATCTGAAAATGGCAAATTCTCTGGGGTAGGGACAAATAAGCGAAATGTTCCGTAAACATGGGATTGGTTTGGGATTGGTTTGGAAGGGGTAGGGAGAAAAAAAGAACGGGAAGGATCATCCTTTCTCCCAGTCCCCCTCCATACTCCCGGGGGGTACTCCCAGAAAAATTGGGTGGGGTTGTGCGGCCCGCTTCCCAAAACCCTTACCCTATTTATGACCAAAATCTGCGACTTTCCCTACCCTATTCATGACCTGTCCAAAAATTCGATACCCTATTTATGACCCTAGCGTCTGGCACAGTTGCCCTATAATTTATGGTGATGGGCTTATCGATACTGTGATGAAAAAGTAGCTGCTTCTAAAAAGCATTTCCATATTCAATTCACTGAGACTTGAGTGTGCCAAAACCATACCATATTTATGACCAAAACGGCTGAAAAACCGTACCCTTTGGGGCCGCACATACCTATATAACCCATGAGTACCCCACCCCGGGTGGCCACTAAACCTTCCTTATGCAAATCAAACGCTGGGTGATCTATAATAAACTGTTAGTAAATGATGACAAGGCTGACTTGATACTGATAGGAACTAGACAACAGCTTTCCAAACTTCAGCCAGTCAATGTTTCAGTTGGCAGCTCTGTAATCAACCCTAGCTCTACCGTGAAAAATCTTGGCTGCTAGATGGATAACACCCTGCAAATTTCATTGCGCATACCTAGTATGTGCAGAGCTTCGTTTTTCTACTTACATAACATCAGAAGAATCAAGAAATTTTCATCCAGGAATATATAGCCTCGAATGTTAGTTACCAGTAGGTTAGATTATTGTAGTAGCCTTCTGGACGGCATTTCCAAGGGACACATCGCTAAACTACGAACTAATTCTTGATTTAAGCAAATACTCCCACACTACGCCTGCATTGTATGAGTTTATCACACTGCCTGCCTGTCCACGCGCGCATTCATTTCAAGATTTTACTTTTAGTATTTAAGACTACTCATGACCTTGCGCCTCATTATATCGTGGACTTGATAACAGTAAAAGATCTATGTATAGCTTAAGGTCAAGTAATGGAATTTTAGTACAGCCTCCACTGACCCAGAAAGATGCTAGTTACGCTTGGTTGTCGCTCTTTCCAGTGGGCAGCGTCATACCTATGCAATACATTCCCACTTGGTATTCCATACAGTAGTTCCATTTCATCTTTCACTGAAGACGGCTTTGGAAACTCCTCTTTTCACGATGTCGTTCTCTTGAAGTCGAAGTTTAGTTTAATGTGTATTTTTCGGCTTTATTAGTGAACTATATATTTAGATTACCCTACATTTTACATTTTATATACTATTATTTTTGGCATTATGCATACATTTTAATTTAGCAGATATTTGCACATATTTTTACCTTATTCCTGTAAATATTTATTATCATTATTATACCTGTTGTAAAGCGCTATACTGATCTTTTTTATCTTAAATAGCGCTGTATAACTGAATTTGATTATACTATTATTATTATTGTTCCCTAATATTTCCAATCCTATATTTAAAACACATCAGCAGCTAGACCATTCTTATCAACCCAAGTTCCATTCTTGCATTTGTAAATTGGTTCAAAGTTGTCAGTATCCAAGTACAGTCGTAAAATTTCCCAAGGCTTGTTCGGACAGGACGCCTCGAAGCCCATAAAACTGCAAGGTCTGAATGGATAGAAGTCTTTTTTCTGATACTGTTTAAGCGTACTTTCGCTTGGGTCTTCTACATAGTGTACTCTTTCGTAGAAATGGAAAATATCGATGTGAAGGTTTCCTTTGAAAAGTCTTCCCATTGGCTCTTGAAAAGAACATTGATCGACAAGACCTGGTGTCTCCTGAGAAAAAACAAAAATAAAAAAGTCATAGTGTGATCAAGCTGCCAGTCCCTCCCAGATATCAAATCATATTTCCGTCCCTTGTAATGTTCATCGAAGTAAGATATCCCGAGTAAAAACAAACAAAAGGAGCGAATAAATTCCATAAAATTTGCTGAGAATTTTTGTTCCAAGACTACAAAACTTCCGTCCTCGTAGCTCGATATTGCTAAAAAGTGGCGCTCCCGTTAGGCAGTTCAAAATATACTTATGACGAGTTAAAATTTACAGCGATGCTACTCATTCATAACGTTTATAAGCTACTATTCAACGTTTTTTCTCCTTCCAAAACCAAACATTGAACTGCGTTTTGAGTTGCGCGCGCTCTGGAGCTACTGCTTTGTACTAAACTACAACCAACCTGTCAAACTGGTTCTCTGATATTCAAACTCCTTTCGGGTGTTTGCACGTGCTCTGCGTATAACCGATGGATAATAAATTGATTGTATCGGGCACGATCGTTACAGTCTTACACAATTCGTGACTCAAAGAGAGTAACCTGACAGCTGTGTTGTGATTTAGGTAAATTTGTGTACATTAACCTGTCATATAATTTGAAATGACTTTTGTCAACTAACCCCAAGATAAAAAAAGAAACTTAAACCAACATGAACAGCAAGTTAACCATGATCAGAAATAACAAGTCAAGACTTTTGAAGTATTTACAAATTAGCATCGGCAATAGACCTTTTTCGACTGGGCGGTTTGTTGCTCCATTTCAGACCATGTGATGATACTCTTGAGAATTAGTATAGTATTAATATAACATTATAATTAAGGCTTTGTTAGGACAACATATACTCTTTTATTTCCTTTCATTGTTTGCCAATATTTCAATTTTAACTTTTTTTAAGAGAATCTTATAATACTATTAATAAAAATCTTTAGATAGAGTTAATACAGTGTCCGCAATTAGCCCATATGGGCTAAGTACATTGACACTTAAATAAAGTTCTTAATTACTTACTTAATTCTTCCTTTCAAATTTTCAAATAGTTGCGTGTATATGAATAAATAACTTTTAGATGGATAAAAGAACAACTCTCTAGAGAATATCACGTGGTCTGTAATGGGACAACAAACCGCCCAAGCGAAAAACGTCTATAGTATGAATATGCGAGTACAATATTTTGGGATTTTTGCAACGAAAATTCTCTCAAAATTGCATGACCCTTTAGACGAGTACAATTACTCGTGTAAATATCAGCACGAGTAGTGTAGATCCCTAATTGCTCGAGCCTTCATAAGATTGCCCATTTATCACATGTATATAACTGAGAAAATTGCGAACGCGCGCTCGTTAATTTGCAGTTCAGTGCAAATTGAAAATTAACCCGCTAATCACAATGAAGTAATTTTCTCTGTCATATAATAGAGTAGTAGAGTGATTTCACAAACCCCGATTCTTATATGCTAATTAGAATCCTCCAATGCTAATGAGNAAAGATACCACGAGATTATCAAGGTAAGCTTACCTCGATAATCTCTTGAGGATACTAAGTAACAGCCGTGCTTAGTTCGGGCGCGCAAGTCGATTTCGTTTCGGTTTGCCAAACTTTCAAACGTTTGATAATCATTTAAATCAAGTTTTTCATGACGTGTCCTCGCTTTGATGAAACAGATGATAATTTTTCGATTGATTTGTGGCGTCTAATCGGCGTGTACTTGATTACTTAACGTGAGAAGGCTACTATAAATATTTATTTAAAGTGATAAAAAATACTTTTTTACCTTGTAATGTTACCAAAATAAAGAAGTTGTTGTTATACCAACCGAACCATCCCCATGATGGTAATTGAAAGCCAACAATTTAAGAGGGACAAAAATGCCGAATGCTAAGTAGCCAATACGGAGAAGTTCTTTATTTAGCTAGGTTCTGTTCTATATAGACACCATTTCCTTAACAAATAGATTTGTTCAACGTTTTCCAATTCATAAAGCACTTCTTCAACCATTTTCAGTTGGAAAGGTCGAGAGGTTTTTGGGATAAACGTCCGTACTGGTTGGCTGGTTAATTTGATGGAATTCCTGATTATTGAGAGAAGATTCATTCACAGGTTCCTCAGCTAGAAACCGTTTTAATGGAAATTGTTCAGCAGTTGCAACACTTAACTTTACTCCAATCTACTAGTTCAACCCAGGTTCACGTTGGTTGCAAAAATTGATTAGAAAAATAAAACCACAAAAATTTTCTTTCTCCCCGTAATCAAATACAATTGAACCCCAACCAAGTGAAGACGAGTCCATCCTTATGGAACAAGATGTTATCGAATCGTAATTGTTTTCCGTTTCCCAAAGCGGCACGGCATTTCCGTTTCCTGAAGTTCTTTCTTTTCGAATAAACTTTCGTTTCGTTTTTTTAGAGTGATTTCACAAACCCCGATTCTTATATGCTGATTAGAATCCTCCAATGCTAATGAGCGTGTACAAAAAGGTAGAACTTCCGCACGTGCGCCTACAACAGACAAATAAACACGATGTTTTTAAACTCTTTTTCATTGAACAGATCTACAAGCAATTTGTGTTCACATTCCAGATGCCGCTTGGAAACGTTCATAAAGCTTAGCTTCAACAACTGCAATACGTCTGTTGTTTGATGACAAGAAGAAATAACTCGGATGATTACGTACACACGCTAAAACGTGCCTAAACAAGAACTAATTTCGCTTTGGCATTCAAAATTACTGTGCGTCTATAGACAGTTCAGTACGTAAATAGNTGCTTGGTGCACGTAGCTAAGCTTTCTAAATCGGTTCAAGTTTCAAGCGAGACCTACATTGAAATAAGATCGAAAGCGATTCTGCTCGATAAACAGAGATTAAAACATTGGAAGCATTGTTGTTTGTGTTAGCGAGAAACCATCTGGAAATTAGAACGGTGTACTTTAGAACGTACTGGCTCTATTGTCCTTACACATTAGCATTTAAGGATTCCAATTAGCATATAAGAATCGGGGTTTGTGAAATCATTCTAATAAATTCTTATTGAATTAATACTGAATTTAAAAAAATATAGTACCTTTCCTTGGCAGTCGTAGCGTTTTCTTGTTTCTACAGGAATGTTCAACGTAAACTCTGGTTGAAGAACTAAGTGAATCCTTGCATCTGAGCTTGCAATATATCGCCGTTCCACTGCTAACCTCTTTAAAATCGGGTAATAATTAATGTCAATGAGAATGTCCACGTCCGAATCGTAAGGTATAACGTCACTGTCTCGCATCGCTCCCAGAAGACTCCCGCACGCCAACACGTACTCAATGTTATGCTGTGTAGAAATATTAGTCCACGCGTGGACAAGCTCTGATAATCCTCTACGCCATGGGTTATCAGGACACCCGCGTTCGCCATATTCTTTGGCACGATGCGAGCCAAAATAAAGCGAACTTTGCTTCGGTGATTTCGATGAGTAGACATTTCTTGTGGCGGGTTGGAAGTGAGCGACTGATGTTTTCTTCGGATGTACGCCGCTTGTATTTGGTGATGGGTTTCTTTTCTTTTCAAGTGAGAACCTTTTTGTTGTGTCTTGATTTATACCATTGGTAAAAATCTTCCAAGGTGTCTGCGATTTATCATTTCTGCCATTTTGATTTTCAATTTCGATGATGTTCCTGTCGCCGATAGAATCTAACTTAATCCACTTGTTGCCAAATTTATTAGCGGGGTTGTCTTCAGCACTAATCGCTTGTGTCACAGTGTGTTGGTCTAAATCATCTTTTGTATTATTCAATATTCTATTTCCAGCCACGTATCTCATGCCTAAGCGTGACATATCAGAGATATCAGACCGAGATTCTGGATCCTGGATAAAAAGCCACAGCACTGACATTCCAGCCAAGGCAAATGCGAAATAGAGAAACAACTTAAGCCAAGAACGCGGTACTATGTACATTGCTTCTTGTCGTACACATGTACTGAGATAACTGATCATTTATCATGTGAGAGATTGGGTCTTTTGTTGATTGTGTACCTTTGTAAATCAAAACGTTCTATTGAGTTTGTCGCTTTGTCATCTCAACATAGTCATAACATAAATTCAGTAACTCATACACTAGAAGCTTACATTTCTACTCTGCAAATAAGACAGTGCTTGGTAACTGTACAGTAGCTTACAGTGAAAAGGAGCAAGAGTTGCTTTATAAAACAAGGCATTTTCCTCTTTGAATACAGTCATTTCTCACTGATGACATATTTTGTTGTTTTATCAGCTGCCTGAGAATGACAAATGTATTCAAATTAAAGAAGTTACGATAACACTCATCGAACATCCATACAACACCATGGCTACTGGAGATAGGTCCTTAATTCATCAGGTGATTAGTATGACATACAAGATGATTTAGCATGCAGCAGTACTTACTGTACTTACTTTAATTTTGGACAGGATATAAGTCAACTCAATTCAAATATTTTCGATATTTTCATAATTATACGTTTTAAGGTATACAATCTTATTAGCTCCATTGAATCGTAGACAAAAGGCTGTAATAATCTATTATTTTCATGATGATGATAATTATTATTATTATTATTATTATTACTATTACCATTATTATTATTGTTTATTTGATGCGTGGTAGTCACAAACTTCAAGTTTACTCTTCGGACTCATTTCAATTTGGCTTCGAGAGCACTGTTAGTTGACAGATAACATTTGTCAGGCTGAAGTCTTTACTAGTCGTTATTTCCTTCTCCGTATTTTAACAGTCGCACGAGGTCTTCGCATTTAAATAGGCCATCGTCATCAGTCAGTGTTCCATGAAGAAAAACTTCATCTACCTGAAGATGTTGAATCAAAGTAAAAACAAAATTAATATTGTTGATTGGCATGGAGTTGACATGGAGTTCTTTACCCTGGAGCCTGGGAGTTTCGAAATAAAGCTCTCTTTCCACTCAATTAAGTAAAAGTTTAGTTTTTTTGATCCTTTATTAATTTTTCTAGGTATCAAAACTCAAGTTAACTCTGACCTCAGAAGTATAACATCCCTCTTTATATGTAGTGCTTCAAAAATGCTTCAATTTTTTGTTGACGTATTAAACGCATGCTAACAATAACTATGACCTTGAAAATAGAAAGTTCCGAGAATTTTACCATTTTATTATTATTTATTGAAGCTTAACAATAAACGAGTCACTGATAAAGGTACAAAGAAAGTTGAGAAATTTACTAAAGCGTGCGGCGCACAATTAAGTCCGTAGTGTATACCTGTTGCTCCGTAAGTCTGAGCCCCATCGTCATCAACAATTCTTTGAACTCGTCGAGATTTATAAATCCATCGCAATCTTCGTCAAAACAGGTGAAGGCATTTCTAATCAACTCTTCGGGATCAGCTGCTTCCATCTTGGAAGCAAACATGGACAGAAACCTGGCAAAATCCACACTCCCTGTTACCTCATTGAGCATATCTTTCACTTGTTTATCCGTTGGTTTCTGTCCAAGAGAGATCAAAATTGTGTGCAGATCCTCCTTGCTTATCACGCCATCATGGTCTTGATCAATAAAATTGAATGCCTCCTTTAGCTGCTTCAGTTGCTCTTTGTTAATATGCACTACTGTTTGAGTTCTCAAGCCTGTCCTTCTAGACTTGCGCCGCGGGAGAATTTTACTACCGTCTGTGTGATACATATTGGCTTGCTTCAAATCCATTGCTTTACGGCGACTTATTATCGAACACGTGAAATGAAATATTAAAAGCACCCAAAGTCACTCAGAATGTAGTTTCTAATTATCTTTGAACAAATCACGGAAACTGTCATGTGGTCACTCAAATAGCTTACAAGCACATCTGTTTTGCTGAGAGTCGTGATTTGAGAACAAAGGATAATTTCAAAGAAACTATAAACCTATCAATTTGCCCCAAAATGTCATATAGTTACGGTAACAACATATCCCAGCTAATATTCATGGCTCGTGAGGCAGCTGACAGTCATCAGTCTTGCCCATCACTATGACTTACATTAAAAGACGTATTGCTGTTACAGCTCTGTAACAGCTTGAAATAAAGTGTATGGAAAGGCTAAGATATGTTAAGTTTAAAATACCTTCCTTTACAACAGCCGCCAATTGGACGGGGTGACCCCGGGGGGAGGGACTCCCACATCACACGAAGGGTCGGAAAATTTGAATTAAACCCCGAAACGAGAACAATCGGGGCGTGGCGCGAACTTTGTTTGACTCCTCAAAGATACCACTCACAACGGAATAGGCTCGTTTACTAGCCGGCGTTCAGGAAGGGACCCCGCGCTAGTAGACCGGAGTCGAGAGACCCGTGGAAATTAAGCCTAAAAACGGAAATAAGAGCGTTTTTCAATCACTATGTCTTCGAGTGCACCCAAAAAGATACTTTCACAGCTGAAAATTGTGACGTTTCGTTTTGAACACCCTAGGTGAGACCAGAGTCCTCCACCTTTTCATACGGAAGTCCCCCGGGGCTGGAGGCGGGGCGGTCGGGGGCAGGGGTGGGGTGAGTGAGAGTATTAGAGATCTGGAACCGACTGGATGCCTGGAACGCCTGGTTGATTTTGTCTCAGCTTTAATATGACTTAAATATGGCCTGCAAATTCGACTTGGAGGTTATCATTAAACTTGGAGGATCAGCAGTTACGCATAAAAATGCCTTCGAGACAATTAATCAGGACGCAATCGCAGCAGCAGCGAAGCTGGTAAAAAATATAAAGGGGAAATGTGTCGTGGTCCATGGCGCGGGGTAAGCAATAAGCTTAAATCTTGTTACCACAGTATTCCCTGCAACAGTTGCACGGAAATTGTCTGAAAGAAGATTGTATTGCATGGAACACCTTTTATTTTGAGCAGGGACAGAAATAACAACTTCTGTGAATTAGAAACTAACGTGGTCCAGAAAGGGATCGATCTCTATGGAAAAATATCTCTCGACATTATACAGCTTTTTTGTTGTTCACATTTGGCAACCTTTAAACAAATGAGCTGTTCCTTCCCTTCGGAATATGAAAGGATTAATTAGTGACTTGATGTGTACTTTGAGACGTTTTTTGACTAGCATTGTTAGATTAAAATTAACAATGTACAATTTACCATCAGTCAGTGGAAAATGTTACATATAAATGCTTAAACCCTAAACAAGACATTCATTTATCTAGCCATTGATCTGAGCTAAAAATAAAACTAATCTCAAAGTACTCCACATTAAATTTATGTAGAGAGCAATATATCCTGATCTTTCTTTCAATATTATCATCCATGTCTTGTGGACATGTTATTATCCTAAATTGCAGGTCATTTGGACACTTTCAGGCTTATGAATATGGAACAGCTAATGGTTTCTCGAATGACATTTTAAACGGTCGGATTGGATTTGCCAAAACCAGACTTTCAGTTACAAAGGTATAGGATGAAAGGTGGCTTATTTCGTGTCCTTTTTCCACTTACATTTGGTATATATATAATCAGTGAAAACCTGTGCTCGTAAGAACCTAGTGGTTTAAGAACCTGCTGGCAGAAATTTACTATTTTAATACCCAAAACCTGTTTAGTCAAGCAAGGTCAAGCAGCTTCTTGTATGTGCGTTACAGATAACTTATGATAAACATTTTAACCTTGGAGTGTGACTTCAAGATTCCAAATTTATTTTACAAGAAAATACATAATACTTATTATTATTACTTATTTTCAAGAACCAAACCCAAGTTTACATGTATATAAATTTTTCTGGTAATCAACAACTATATGTCCTTCACAGAAATTAAGAACCTACTTAGCCTAAATTGCCAATAATTGCCTCAAAATGCAAGAATCTATTTTGCCAGAATTCAGAAACTTTAGGTTCTTACATGGGGGTTTTTATTGTACTCATCTCTGTATTTAGTTAGTCCTTGGTTGTGTAAGTGTTCAAGTCATAAGGATTGTAGGTGTCTACTACAGTCTACTTCATAGTCTTCTTATGTGAACTGTCAGCCTAATGTCTTAGAGTCTGTTATTTATTTTATAATAATTTAGACTGTGCTAACCCATCACTTTTCAGGTAAATTGTTATTGATTTTAAGGGTTAGTGCCGTTCGAACGTTTCCAGCATCTGTTCGAAATTTTTCCGTGGCCATTCAAATGGTATTTGAAACCATTTTTAACTGCTGGAATATCCGTTTCTCATCCATTTGTTAGCTGTTCGCCAGGCGTTCACTTTGACCATTTAATGGATATCCGTTAGTGACATTTTCGCATGAGAGGTCACATTATGTGCAGCTTTTAACATGTGTATTACTTGTGTATTTTTAGATATATATTCTATGTACAGTAAGAACATTGGTACCATTGTAATTTTATCATCATTATTGTCATTATTTTCATTATTGTAAGTTGTTTTTTTGTTATATTGTTTTTATAATTGAAAAGAATTACTGTATTCTGCAGAAGGTTAAGAAGGTGAATCATTCTGAAGTAAATATTAACGTAAGTCCAATTAAACTGTTAATTATACCTTGTTTATTGTTCCTCTCTGATAGCTACAACACACAATCACAGCAGTGTTTCTTGAGAATGGTATTCCAGCATTGGGAATTTCAGTAAGTATCAGTAAAGGTGTTCCAGTTGTCTAAAATGCTGTTCGTAAGTTTTATCATAATTATATAGGGGATATTACATGGCCTCGCAGAGACACAAAATTTATCTTCAAGCATTGAAAAATATTTTAGCATGAAATATTTTTAACATGAGAAGAGAAATTTGGTATCTCCAAGCAACCACGTAATTTTCTTTTTATTATATCACAATGCATAACAAAGTTTTTGTTGATTTTCCAAGGATTTCCAACCACTTTCCAAAGATTTGCGAAGATTTTCCAAAATGTGTCCGAACTCTTCAAACATTTTCTGAAAATTTCTGATTGAAGTTGTCTGAAGATTTCCAAAGATAAACAAAGATTGCCGAAGACTTCCTAAGAACATTCGAAGATGTTTCGATCATACACCAACAAATTTAAGTTCAGTTAAAGGGACAAAAATGTTATCAAAAATAATCATGATATCTTCACATGTGGATAAAAATGATATCCTCACATGTGGAGACACCATTTTTATCAATTTGTTACCACTTGGTATACCACTAACTTTCATATATTAATAAATGTTTATTATTTTATGCATACCAGTAGTAATTTGTAAATGAGATGTTATTTGTGCATCCACTCTGTAACTTACAGTTATAATATTTGGCCATATTATTTGTTTTGTTTTTTTGTTGTTGTTGTTGTTGTTGTTGTTGTTGTTGTTGTTTTTTTTTGTAAATTGATGGTTCCCACAATGAACACAAACAGTTGGACTGAGTCACTTTTAGGAGATTGTTTTAAGTCCAAATCCAATAAGTTGTATTAATAATATTATTATAATAATGCATGTTTATTTGATCAAATTCATAAAATATGCAAAAGTGTACATAATTCAAAAAGGGAGTTTAGAGGTTAACCCTAATAATAAAACTCCCCTAAAAAAAAAAGGAATAAAAAGTACAATTAAAATTATGTATAAAATTATTGAAAGAAGGAAAAATTCTGTTTGATAATTTACAATTTTAAAAATGATTCAAGTCTTAGTTTAAAGAGTTCGAGGATTCCTGCTTCAACAATGTTTTTGGCAGATTGTTCCAATCACCAATCACTCCAGTATGTTGTCTGCAGGAAATTAACATCTGAATAGAGAATTGAAAATCTATAAAATTTTGCTTCCCATGAAAGTTAATATTAGTGATATATCACGAAACATTTTGACAATAAGACAGCTTTAAATTTTAGCAGGCTGTACAGTACAGATAAATTGACCAATCAAAGTGGTGTAGTAACTAAGTAATATAATAAATGAGCTTACAGTGCTAAAATTGCTCTAAATGTTAGGCTTCTGCAAATGATCCATTGGACTGAGAAATGAATTTTATTTTAATTTTACCTTTCACATTTTGGTAATATTTACAAACTTTTATGTGTAGCCCTGTGGATCCTGGTTAACAAGTAGTGGTGTGGTCACCAGGTCAGCGGTAACTCCAATTGTTGAGCTATTGGAAGCTGGATTTGTACCAATTTTGCATGGTGACTGTGTACTGGATGATGTTCAGGGCTGCTCTATACTAAGTGGAGACAAAATTATTCAGGTACATTGAGCTGCTACAAGCTGAATGATTTTAACACCTACAGCCCCATAACAAGGAAACTGAGTTGCTCCTGTCCATACAGTGTACAGTTCTATTTGACAAATCTCTTTATTTTAATACTACAAGCTCAAGAGTATATGGTGCAGGGTGTTTGTTGTTGTTTAATAGAAGCAGGCAGGTTCTTATTGAAAAAAAAAAACCATCAAACATTACTCGTGATAACCATTTAAGAAATATGGTTGCTTGAAAGGCTATATTTATTTTGCTGTAATAGTTGTTGTTGCCAGACATAAAATACTGTTAGTAATAACATCGTTCAAGACTCCAGCGACTTAAGTATGCCCGTCAATTACTGTCATAGTGAAAGGCATTGACGGAGCTGAGATGCATGTCTACTTATATTGTAGTGAACATCTTATGTGCTTCCAGAAGTTTCAAGGATCAAATGCATAGCGGAGATCCTTCAGAAAAAGTATCTGTCTGCTACAAAGTCCTAATGTTGGACAAAGAGCAGAATCCGTGTTCTTTACATGGAGTTCGTTATTTAGCATATTCTCTTTCACAGATTAGCAACTTTAATGCAGAAAAAATCTTTCTTGTTGGCGATTTCAACCTCCCGGTCTTTGATTGGATCAATCAACTATCACTGTCTTCCGATCAACTCTACCTCAATTCTTCTGAAATATTTAACAATACATTCCTCGCTACTATTTGTAGCGGCGACCAGTTAGAGTGACACATCAAACTGAATTGTTTATTATATTTCAACAATAATAGTCATTTTTTTCTTTATTCTTTAGAGGTTAGCAGAAGAGCTTCGTCCAAAAAGAGTTGTATTTTTGACAGATGTTGATGGAATATATGACAAACCCCCTGAAAAAGAAGGTCAGTGCCTTGTTCATTGATGAAGTTTTGCTGCAGTTCACGTGGAACGCTAATTTGGTCGGACGTTTGACTGTATTAAGATGAATTAATGTGTTATTGTTAGTAATTATTACGTTTGTGGTCAGTTTGCATTTCACAATCACAATTTATCTCTCCTCTCCTAGATTCAGTGTTGCTTCGAAAAGTGTACGTTAAATCAGATGGACAAATGAATGTTACCATAGCGACATCAAACCTTCATCATGACGTCACCGGCGGGATTCGCGAGAAGCTTCAAACAGCGTCCAATATAATTCGTATTTCTGAACAGCATTCGCGCGTCTTTGTGTTAAATATAATGTCCGAAACTGTTGCATATTCTGTCTGTAGTCGGGGAGTTTTGGACGGAAATGGTACAGAAATATTGGCAGAAACTCAAGAGTTCAACAGAGTAAACATTCAGTGACATGCGTGTGTGAGATTATTGCACATTACTTATAAATTTAATTCGTCACCTTCAAATGTTGGAAAACACAAACGTCACCAACTGTCAAGTTGATGCTCATGGATCCTCGCACTGCCCCATGTGCATGCAGGATATTCGCACTCACAATTTTTGTTGTGTGGCATAACAAACGTACGTTATATACCAGTAGTCAGGGAGATCTTAGGCAAGCCCTTAGTTTGTAATAAAGTTCATGAAGCGGAGAAGAAACTGGAGAAATGTGCATAGCCTTCGAGAAAACATTTAATCATGGTGTTCCGTTAAAATTGAAAGTATCCAAGCCACGCCCTTTTTAGGATTTTACCCCTTTTAAACATTATCAGCTTCTTCGTGTGAGCAGTTGTGATATTCTTTGAAAGGTTTTCAGAAAACAAGATGGCTTCTTTAGTTACCATACGGGCAAACTGACAGATATTTTCGCTCCCATTTTACTCAGGCAAAGAATCGGCATATTATGTTTCGTGTTACACATGCTAAAATACAGCTGGTTTAATTGGTTTCACTTATCGTTCTTGTCATTTGATATTATTGAAACACCAGCCATGAAATGAAATGTGATGTCTTAACGCAAGTTTACTTGACTAGCAAATTTGTTTTTGTAAACTATTTTAAATTTGCTGCCAGTAATCGGGAATTTTTAACTAACCATGCTGTCATACCCTACTTGTTAAGCTTTATGCAATTAAGACAAGGTTCGTCTTTTATCAGAAACATCGGCTTAAATAAGCTTCGCATTGGCAATAATAAAATCTCCAGAAATCATAACTGAACGCTTTCAATACACTACTGGCTTGAAAAATAGTCGATTTAAAATTTACGCTGTTCCGTGATATTCGGCAAGAAAAATTTCATTTGTTGTTTTTAAAATTTGTCTTAAAGTCTGATTTCACAACCAAACTGCACAATTATGTTTTTCATTCACTTATCATTTTGTAACAATACACATGCATTTATTTTTGTCTCAGTCGGGTTATCTACCAAATGAATATAAAAATACCAATAGGAGTGAAGCTGACTGAAAATGAAAGCGTAAGGAGCCATCTTTTTCCTTGTATTCGGTAGCTCTAGTTAGGAGACTGTACGCACGCTGCAATAGTTTTTCGCCATTAAATAAAATATGGCTGAAGAAGTTACTGGATTCAGTCAAATGAGACTTTACGTTTGATCATCACGGCGGCAGAGATAGGACTTTAAAATATGGGCCTTACATCAACAGATGATTTATTGAGGCCGGTCAACGGACAAGACCCTGCATAATTAATTTCAGCGGCGTGGTGTCACACTGGGATATATATATCTATGTTTTTTCAATTTTCAGCGTTGTAATATTCACTGATTCATTACATCATCGACTCAACTAATTGAGGCAACAAGTTGAATTAATTAACTGATTTAAATTAATTGTTTTGAATAGCCCATTTCATTACAGTGTATGCATGTCGCACGAGAGACAACAATGAATGGAAGACAGTCACAAATATTGTGCGTAGCATTTATTTTTAATATTCCAATTCAACAAGCATTGTTTACTACAACACTAAAGACTATTCTTATATTGGTATTCCTGTGGTTTTGGTTGGAGGGGAAATCCCTTTGTAACTTCGTTACTCAATGATATTCACATAGTCTGGCATCGCACTTCCCTCGTTAACCTCTTCTCCTAGGAAAAGACAGCAATCCAGCGTTTAGTAAATGAGAATCACTTGTCAGGTTAGTACAGAATATATCAGTACTAGGTTTTATAGAAAAACAGAGCTCCACCATCAACAAAAAACAGGAGCAAACAGTAAGCGGAATCAGATTTGATTTTGTAGAATTAACCTTCTTGGGGATCCAGTCTGGGTTTCTGTTCACTGTAATTTTGAGTTCTTGCTCGAGGAAATGAACGTTTGACGGGATTCTCTGGCCACAATTGCAACAAAACTCATTCCCTTTCTGTGATAGGATGCGAAATATGACATTTTGGTATACAATCCAATTATGATTTCAGTTTTTCCTACAGTTTTTCCTACAGCCTAGCTACTTCATAATGCTTACTGATAGCGTATACAGCGTTGGTGAAGTTCTTTCCAGCACAGAACCTAGTTGAGTAGGCGCAGTCGTTAATACACTGGTCTGCGCATCCCTCAAGCGGCGCATGCCCTTCAAGATAGAAGGCGGAGTCATCAGGACCACTCCAGCATTCACCTGAATAAAATGAACAAAATATATGATCTCCCTTGTACAGAGCCAAGAGCATTTTTACTGTTTTACGAGATGGAAGGTTTTTTTTTTTTTTTTTTTTTTT